ACACTGCTTTTTCGAACATTTTTTCAAATTTGTACGCGAATTACAGCCAAACGGATAAAACCACAGCAATATATCAATATATGCTAGATTCCCCAAACATTCAGCTTTCATATGCATCGTTTGGATTTAGTCTATCTATTATTGTTTTCGAGAAAATCAATGAAATGTGAAAACACTGCTTTTTCGAACATTTTTTCAACTTTGTACTCAAATTACAGCCAAACGGATAAAACCACAGTAATATATCAATACATACTAGATTCCCCAAACATTCAGTTTTCATATGCATCTTTTGGATTCATTCTATTTATTATAGTTTTCGAGTAAATCAATGAAATGTGAAAACACTGCTTTTTCGAACGTTCTAATTTCAATTTTTCAACTTTGAACGCGTATTACATCAATGGTAACAGGTAAGCATCCACATAAGCTTTATAACAATAGATAATAAGCGTACTTAGCAACTGCATGATGACTACAGCTACAGGTAAACGTCCTTAGCAACTACAAGGCGTCTATAATAACAGCTAAGTGTATTTAGCACCCTTAAAGCGTTTATAGCAACAGGTAAGCGTCCTTAGCAACCATAACACGTCTGTAGCAACAGGTAAGCGTCCTTAACAACCACATGACGTCTATAACAACAGATAAGCGTCCTTAGCAACCATAACACGTCTGTAGCAACAGGTAAGCATCCTTAACAACCGCATCACGTCTATAACAACAGATAAGTGTATTTAGCAACCACAAGGAGTTTATCTGAACAAAGAAGCGTCCTTAATAACCGAATTATGTTTTCAACAGGTGAAAAGGGTCCTTAATAACGTTGTCAACGCCTTTTTATATCCTTTTCGAATCAAAACAGCGATGAAGAAACTTTAAAATAAATTTCACTTTAAGTTTTTGTAATGTTTTCCTGTAATTAAAAAAAAAATAATTAAATTAAAAATAATTTTGAGTTAATGTATAATTTGATTTCCTAATATATTGAATCTATTATATAATTGCACAATACTCATGGTGAATTGAGTTGAAATACCGATTTAATTCAATGTAAGTTTAGATCGTTGCTCTCTGTAAGGAAAGACGACGAAGAGGACGACAGCGCACGGAATAATTGCGAAGGCATTTACCGGCGATTTGCAGGGGGATCGGCATTCCGAAAAGTTGTAAATCATTGGATGGATGGAAGGAAGGAAGGTGCGTGCACGAACAAATTCCCTATGGATTTGTTTGTCAATGGATGAAGGTAATTGTTCTTAGTTAATTAGCACAAGAAAAAAAAAATAGAAACCCACGAATTAGAATAAACGACGCCCGAAGAGATGAAAGAAAGAGCGAAATACGAGAAATTGTATAACGAGTCTGGAGACAACAATCGGTTTTCTATTTGGCAGGTTGTTGTATAACGCACGATACGCAATATTTTATTGGATAGGTCTTGTATTGAATAATGCGAGAGGAAGGAATAGATACAAAAAAAAAAAGTAGAAAGAAACGAAGAGTAAGAAAAAACTTATAATGAGATAGAAGGAAAAAGGCGAAGCTGCTAGAGAAAGAGCGTGGCTGTTGCGCAACGAGAAAATGGCAAATCTCTCGATATTTATATACTCATTTAGATTTCTTCTGCAGAAAGAGGGATGCGCGCGATTGCGAGTGCGTATGCAAATCCTTTTGTATATCGTAACCATCGTTTACAAACTGACGAAGCGATGCGAAGTTTTCGTAACTTCCTCTCTCGTCCGACAACAAACGGTAAATTCATCAGTTTGCAAATCGAAAATTCAATCTCTTTTTTTTCTTTGATTCATTCCATTGTCGAAGAAAATCACAATTCCAAACTGGTTAATCAAATGCCAAATGCGTTGCTTCGTTATCCTTGAAACCTATGTGAAAAGTCTCTTCTCCGCGTCTCGAATCAATTCAAAATGTGTACAATTTTTATATGATAATCATGTTAATAACGAAACGAGGCTCAATTTCTTAATAGGCTCTTGATTTCGGGCCAATTTCATAATTACCTGCAGGTATAACTACTACACATTTTTTTTTTTTGCTTCTTTCTAATAAGAGTTGGGTCATATTTTCGAGTAAGAAATCGATAAGGAACGTTACGAAACGGAGCGCTCCCACAAAAAATAAAAACTTCGTTACGTGAATAATCCAAGGTTGTAGACGAAAAAAGGGTTTTTCCACTGTCTTATTTTCTTTGAATTTTGATAATTTAGATTTATTATTTCCAAGCCAAGTAAACTTTTCACAAATACTTTAATTTGTAAATGAAAAAGTTTTTGATACTTGTTTATGAATTCATCAAATGGTTTCAGTATTCATAAGGAGAATAATCTAATCTATTCCAATGCCTTGATCCGTCCCTGACGTTTGTGGTTCTAATGTAAAATTGAACAAAACCTGAGTATGTTATTTGAATAATTCAGATTATATCAGAAGTTACTATCATCGCATACATTAAATTCTGTACATTCTTTACACACGGGCGAAAAACGCCTTGACATTTTGTAAACTGCAAACTTCTTCGCTTTTGAAACACAAGTAATCTTAATTCACTTACAAAATTTATACAGTCGCAGTTATATACTTTTCGATTTATCATAACGTTTTTTTTTTATATATAGAAAAAAGTATAAACTTATTTACAAATCTTTGTTTGTACAAATTTGTACAAGAAGTTTTAGAACTGAATTTTTATTAATAGACACAAAATGAATAAACTTATGAACGTTTTGAAAATAAATTTGGTATTGATACAAACGGTGATTACAACATAAACGTATTACGAAAGTAATAAACGTTACTTTCGAAACATCAATTTTGTAATTAAAATATCAAATATCCACCAGAAAAAATAAACTCAAATTGATTTAAAGCACATAAAAAAAACGATACTTTGTAGCTTGTTAATTATGAAGAAAACTTGAGGAATTCACTAAAATATTTGTTTTTAACTGAACAAAAAAAATTAATAATAAAATAATTCTATAATATAAAATAGTTTAAATTAAATTATTTGTAAAGATTTGGTAATCGAAACGATTTTCGTTATTTTGTAAAAAAAAAAAAAATAGGACCCAGATAAGAACCACGTGGAACTTTTGTTGTTGGCATTTGTTTTCAATTTCTTGATTGTACTTACTTTTCTTTTTTTTTTATAGGATGGTCACGATTCTCTCTCTATTGAAGACTTTCTTAAAATGATCTATACAGAAAATAAATTACTTTCCATTATTTTTTTTGAATTTATGATAGAAATTTACAAAATTTGATTACATTTGTAAACAATTTATAATTCAATTGTGTTTTCAGTTGATTTTTAATAAGGAAATATTTCGAAAATCAATGAAATTGTGCATAAAGTAAAGGTGAACTTTTCGGATAATGTGTAAATTAGGATGTTGATTAATTGAATGTTGTTTAAGTCTTTGGTCAAGGTGCAATCGAATTGCAAAAGAATGCAGGACTGGACGTGTGGGACGTTTGCATGAATCGGCGCCGATGTAAATGTTCTGACTCTTATGTTGGTTGTTTGGTTGGTCTCTCTGAATGGACGAAGAAAATGTGGAACAACAACAACAGAGTTAGTAGCTCTGGCTGGCATTGGAGTTTACGAGCGCGAGGAATTCCATCCAATATAAATTATAAATTTATATTTTCTGCTTCATCTGCATGCAAAATATACATAAGATATCGGTTGAGTTCAGGCGGAGAGAGAGACAGAGAAAGAAGTGGGTGCGTTTTCTGCTGGTTCGAACGATGGTTTCACATCCGACGATACGGATCTTCACGATAACTTTCATACCACATTCCTGAGGTCCCCCCGAAATCGAATGGAAACTGGCGAGAAGAACAACAGTTTCAATTAAGATGATGATGGAAAGATTTTTTTCTTCTAGATGTGGCAATTTTATTGATAAAGGTTTCTAAATGAATGTCGCGATTGTAATGATGCTGCTGATGATGTTGGTCGTTGATTTAAGCGGGGAAAGAGCAAGAGCGAAAAGTAAAAGTGGTAAAAAGCGGTTTTGCCATGTGCTTAACGGTTCTACCAATGCAGAAGTGGATGCAAAAGAGAGAACGGAATGCGCGCTGCTCCCTGAAAGAGGCCTTTATAATGAATAATAATAAATCATTATTTCATGAAGGACTACCGTTTTTCTGCAAGGTAAAGTCTGGTAGCGAAGCAGGAAACGACGTGTCCTTCTAAACCAAAAGATTTCAATGTTGTTTCGTATTCGCTCTCTTCTTTAACGTTGTAGAAATTGAGCAGAGGGTGTTTCTGTTGCTGCTGCTCATGTTGTTGTTGTTGCTGCTGCTGCTGGACAGATCTCGCCTCGGGGAGAAGTGAAAGTCGAGTTAGAAAGCGTTCTTCGTCCAATGCGAATCAGAAATGATGCACGTATGTATGCTAATTAGCGTGTCGTGAACGGAGGCGTTCAAGGATAGAATCCGAGTTGGCCGTTGTTGCTGTTGCTGCAGCAACAAACGGTAGTATAGAGATACTTAGAAGAAGAAGAAAGAAAAAAGAACAAATTACGTGTAATAAGTTTATATAATATATATTTACAATGGGGGAAGGTTTGAATTAATAAGTATGGGTTTGTTTTTATATAAAAAAAATGTTTATTTAGGAAAAAAAAACTATATAAACAACGAAAAATAATTAAAAAAAAATCGTAAAATCACGCGCTTCGCAGTCGATGAAATTAAATAAATTATTAAAGATGGATAGGATCACTTTTTTGTTGTTGTTGTTGTTGTTGTTGTTGCAAAAAAAACCCTATTTTATTGTGTATTTTTGCGTTTCGCATCTTTACTCTAATAAATCTAAGGCAAGGGGTTTCGTGTGGAGAAAAATAAGCACACACACTAGATTAAAAAAAAAGAAAAAAATAAACTGTCCCTCTTTGCGGCCACTATTCTTGTTCGTCGCTGTCGATTATTGTATTTTTGTTGTTGTTGTTGTTGTTGTTTTGGGTTGTTTGTTTGTTTGTTTGTTAGTTTAATTAAATTGACTTAGTAGAAACCATCGCCGGTCGGGTCGTTGAGCCATGGGTAGTTGTTGGGACAACGCACGCAAGTCTGCAGATTGATGGTCTCCCCGGGAACCTCCTTGGAGGTGAGCTTGCAGGAATGCGGTACCCAGCAGGCGGGGATTCCTTCGACGTTGCACTTTTCCCTCCACGGCTCGAACTTCAGCGATTCCGAAACCGTCCTCGGGTTCTGGATCCACTGGATCACCTGGGTCATCGTCACGAAGTAGACGTCGTTGTGGTTGGCGAGGATCTCGTCGATCCAGTAGAGGAAGGCCTCGAGGAATTCGGGGTTGTTCTTGAGCCAGGCGGCGTGGAAGTAGAGACCGAGCGGGGCGCGGTTCTCCTCGTAGTGACGATCGAAGTTGTGGTTGAGGAAGTTGTAGAACTGGTCGCCGGTGAGGATGTTCGAGCAGGAGTCGACCATCGCGCAGCCGGGTACGACCTCGTCGCTGGTCGGATCTTCCCTTCTGTCCAACTCGTTCAGCACCATCTCCCAGACGGCGTGAGACCTAGTCGGGCAACTCTGCAAGTTGCCGTGGCAACGATGAGGCATACGGAAGTACATGGTGTACGGCCACAGCGGTGGATTGCTCAACGGGGAAGTGATCGTCGAGTCGTAGAGGAAGGCCTGTTCTTCCATCATGGTGAACTGGTTGTTGCCGCCGACCCTCAAGTATGGGGCACGAACTCCAACGACGCTGTTGTCGGTCAAGTTGGCGTACTTCTCAGCGATGATCCTCATACCGGCCATCTCCTTGGCCCAATCATCGACGGTGGCGTTGCTCCAGAAACGTTCATCATTGTTATGCCTGATCAATCAATCAATCAAAAAACAAACAATTAACAACAAAATTCATAAAACATCCTGTTAATGTATTAATTACGTGATCGAATGGACTGCGATTTCGTGTCCTTTACGGTGCATCTCCTGCATGGCAGAGTAATTGGTGTACTTGTGCGAGACGAAGAAGGTGGCCTTGATGTCGCAGCCGTTCGGGTTCTTCCTCTTTCCATCGAACATCTCCTTGTACAGCTCGATGTTGTTGTTGTTGATGGCATCGTCGAAGGTGATGGTGATCATCTGCGGCACGTCTTTAGCCGGAAGATCTCCGGGAATGGTGGTACCATCTTCTGAGCAGAAGCAATCCGGAAGAACGCACACGGCAGGGTCGCACGGTGGAGCCCTGTTCGGATCGTTGTCAATGTCTGCAGTGGACGAAGAGGATTATCAGAAAAAAAATTTAATCACGTAAAGTGGGCCATCAAACTAACCGCAGGTGTTCTCATCGGAACCGTCGGCGCAATCCTTCTCGCCGTTGCAGAAGAGACCCCTCTCGATGCAGGTGCCGTCACCGCAGGCCAAGGAACCGTCGTTGCAGAGAGGTTCGTCGGTGAAGAGCAGAGGCTTAACCTTGCGCTCCTTGTTCTTCAGTTTGCAATTCTTGACGGAATCCTTCCAATCGCAAGTCTGCTTATCGATGTCGAAGTACAGACCGGCCGGACACCTAATTGCTTGCAAACCCTACACAACAACAACAACAACAATTATAATCTCGTTCCAATTGGAATCCTTCATTTGCAGTAATTTACCGAAGAGGTACATTGGATTACGTCACGGCAATTGTCGCCTTCTCCTGCTACCAAACGGAACCATTCTCCAGCATCTTTGTTCTTGCACAGTTCAACCTCGAAGCTCTCCTCCTTCTTTGCGTTTGTATCTTCTTGTCTCTTAACGCGAGCTGCTTCAACTGCACGACATCACAAAAGAAAACACGCAATTACATCAAGCACATATAAAATAATGAAAATCTCATTACTTCAAGAATCTTCAAATATTTCTTTTAAATTTAAACTAATTAGTAGGAAAAGTTTGTTTTTTTCTTGAAATAAAAATGTTGATCTAATTTCACTATCATCTGAATTGAACATATGTTTTTTTTTCTTCTTCTTCTTAAATTAATATAAATTTGACGTGAACGATCTACTTTTCGCTAAAAACTGTTTTTGTTTTTGGGCGTTAGCAAACTTGATTCTAATGAGACTTGTATGGAAAATGTGTAAGTTCACAGCGAGGACGTGGAGGAGAAGAAGAAGAAAAAAAAAATGATTGAAGAGAAAGTGCTTTGAGGCAAGAGAGACTTTACATAATCTTTTGCTTTCTAAAATTACTTTATCATATCTTGTGAGGTTCGCAAATCGATTGCGCAATGGGGATTATATAGGTGCGCGTACGTACGAAGTTTTACCCTCGTGAAAAAAAAAACGGTGGAAAAGTCTTGATTGAAGGTAAACTACTTTCGGATTGCAATGGTTTCAAGCGGAAAAAAAAAAGAAAAAATAATGAGAGAGCAAAAAAGAGATAGAGAAGTGTTTAAAAAAATATGAAGTTTTCCTTTGAGGAAAACTTCATTTTTTTTATGTTGGATTTGCGTCGAATTGTTGTTCTTCGGTTTGGATATTGTTAATAGTTGTAGGTAATTGTAAATTACTCGACTTACCTGTGAAGAAGACAGCGGCGAAGACTGCGAGAACGAAAAGCGCACCTTGTATGCGCGCCATCACTTTAAGCACTAACACTGCTCAGCACCTGACAGGCCCTCCGCTCAGCCGATGTCCGCTTTTATACTCGGCCTACATCCACGGCCACCATTGGTCGACGTCACTGCATCCACAGTCCGACCAGCATTGGACATCCATCGAACAACGCCGATCGACGGATTTTCCTCTTCTTCGGCACGCACAACACACAGATTTTCCTCTTCTGCACTTCAGGAATTCGACGACGTTTTCCTCAGATCGCGCTGAAAAAAGGGTCGAAAAAGACCCTAAAAGTATGCGAAAGGAAGAGCCCGGCCTGAACCCTGACCTACTCCAACAATCGAAACCGAAAAATTTCACTCTCTCAAATTTCTACGTACTAAAAAAAAAATATAATAAAACAGGCAGGGTTCTATGGTTACATATCAAAAAATTATTGAATTTCACAAATTGTTTAGAGAAATAATCATTAATTTGCGCAAATGAAATTATAAAGTTCAATTCCTGAAAACTTGAATAAAATTGTAATCAAAATTGAGGTACTTAAGCAAAGATTTTTAAAGAATCAAAATTACTGAAAAATTGAATACTATTGTCATAAAAGATACGTTACTAATGAAAAATCCTGAAAACTTCAATGGAATTCTCATAAGAGAAACGTTACTATTACATTAAATATTCTATATTTCAAATTTTATTGAAATCCAAGAAAAAGTATCAAAATTTTAGAAAGAGTTTATTCAAAAATCCTGAAAACTTGAATGGAATTGTCTTAAAAGAAACGTTACTATTACAATAAATATTCTATATTTCAATATTTATTGAAATACTAGATATAATACAAAAATTGTCATAAAAGAAACATTACTATTACATTAAATATTCTATATTTCAAATTTTATTGAAATGCAAGAAAAAGTATGAAAATTTTAGAAAGATTTTATTCAAAAATCCTGAAAACTTAATTTAAATTTTCATAAAAGAAACGTTATTTCAATATTTATTGAAATACAAGATAGATTATGAAAATTCTGGAAAGATAATTAAAGTTTAATATTATTTCTCCAAAAACTTAATATAATCAAAAAAATCCTGAAAATCCTGAAAACTATTACATTATATACTCTATATTTCAAATTTTATTGATATCCAAGAAAAACTATGAAAATTTTAGAAAGATACTTAAAGTTTAATATTCGTTTACCAAAAAAACCTAATGATTTTATTAAAAAATCCTGAAAACTGATATATTATATACTCTATATTTTAAATTTCATTGAAATCGAAGAAAAATATGAAAATTTTAGAAAAATACTTAAAGTTTAATATTATTTTACCAAAAAACCTAATGATTTTATTCAAAATTCCTGAAACTTAACTGAAATTGTCATAAAAGAAACGTTATTTCAATATTTGTTGAAAAACAAGAAAGAATATGAAAATTCTGGAAAGATTGTGAAAGTTTAATATTATTTGTCGAAAAACCTAATATTTTCAAAAAATCCTGAAAATCCCGAAAACTTAACTGAAATTGTCATAAAAGAAACGTTATTTCAATATTTCTTGAAATACAAGAAAGAATATGAAAATTCTGGAAAGATACTTAAAGTTTAATATTATTTGTCCAAAAACCTAATATTTTCAGCAAATCCTGAAAACTTATTCAAATTGTCACAAAAGAAATGTTACTAATACATTAAATATTCTATATTTCAAATTTTATTGAAATCCAAGAAAAATATATAAAAATTTTGGAAAGTTACTTAAAGTTAAATAGTATTTCAGCAAAAACTAATCTGTTTATTACAAAAGTCCTGAAACCCTAAATGAAATTTGTCATAAAAGAAACTAATACATTTAATATTCTATATTTAAAATTTTATTGAAATATAAGAGAAAAATATGAAAATTAAAGAAAGATACTTATAGCTTATTAGTATTTCAGCAAAATCTCATCTTTATATTACAGAAAACCTGAAAACTTCAATGGAATTGTCATAAAAGAAACGTTACTTAATACTTTTTTAATATATTTTTTGAAAGAAATATTGAAATTTATGAAAGATTCATTTAGTTTATTAATGTTAATAAATGTTGAAAGTTTAATATTATTTATCGAAACACCTTTCCATAATTTCTAAAAAACTTTCATATAATCTTCATAAAAGTAACGTTACTAATTCATTTTTCAATAAATTTATTAATAAACAAGTTTTTATGTTCTTTTTCACTATTAATTGAATACAGAAAGTTGAGAAAACTTTTGAAATGAAAAAAAGTATCAAATTGTATAGATTAAAATCAAAATTATTATACAATAATTGCATTGATATATAAAGATACATTACCAGAAATGTCATCAATAAATTGAGAAAATAATACATCAAAGAAACGTTACTTATAATCAATTAATTAACTCAACTTTATTTACAAATTTAACAATCTGTTACGTGAAAATGTATCCAAATACATCAGATTAATTCCATGTAGATTAAGGCTTAATTTGCATATTTATTATCTAATTCATGTGTCACGTTTATCTCTAAAGAAAAAAAATATATATATGACGAAAACTAAAAAGTTTTTAGTGTGTAATTATTTGTAATACAGACATCAAATCAATCAAAAACAATGATGAAAAAGCAAACACGTTTTAAGCAATTATCAAAGATTTACGTAACTTTTAGAGTTTAATTTAACTATTCTAACATTAAATTTTGTAAACTTTTCTTCCAAATTTTGAAATTCTTAACCATTTTTTGTTTGTTTGTAATCAATTTCTATTGGTTGGTGAAATTGAAAGTGTAAATTCGTAACGTCTTCACACTAAGTACTTAATAATGTCAATCAAATCACATTTAAATAGAGCCAACCTTGCATATTTTAGTTAAAATTTTGTTTATCTAAATGAAATTGTTATAAAAAATTGTTTTAAACATTCACAGTTTGTTCTTCAATTAATTTGAGCATCAAATAATTGCAATTATCTTAAAAACTAAATGTTTATGAAGAAGTTTCAATTCATTTCTCTTAGATTTTTAGACAATTTTTAAACATTTGATTGAATTTAAATGAATTCGTGCTAAAAGATGAAATATTCATAAAGAAATTTCAGTTATTTCCATAAGCATTGTATGGAATAAAACAACGATTAGAAAATATGTTAAATCGCGAGAAATGCACAGTTTTTGCATATTTTCTATATCCAAATTTCAATAGAGAAAGATTCTGTTTATTAATTTGTCTTAACTATTGGGTCAGTTTTTTATTGTGATCAAATGCTACACAACATCTTTGTAAATCTACCAAAATTTGTTGCAATTCAGCTTTTGATTTGGTTTCTACTTCAATCATCATCATTTTCGATTCATGTTATTGAATTTTTCATTAGTAGTGATGATTTCATTAGGTTTTAGATGGATAATGCAAATATTGATTCGTTGGCTTCTAAAGAAAGCTAAAAATGACATCTTTCAAATTACATAACGAAAAATTTCTTTAAAACTAATTGTTAAAATTACTTTTTTACCAACTTTATAGTAAAATAGTAGTAAATATAATTGGTATTTGTCAACAAGAAAGAAATTAGAAGGTCAAATCATAAAAATGAAATAAATTTAACTAAACCAGGTGGAATGATCTCACAGTTTCATTTTAATTGCTTGATTTAAAGTGACCATTAAGTAATGAAGACAATAACAATTACAACGAGTAAATTATCACTATAATGAACATACAAAAAAGAGACGCAAGGAATTCCATTAATTAAATATTATCATAAATTCATTTACAATTTTTCTCTCTTTCTCTATATTCATTTAAACTTAATGTGCTTTGGCGACTTGTCTGAGATAAAAAGGTGTGTGTGCTTGTGTAGCAATGGATGCGTTGTGCAAGCGTTTTTATGCTATTATTTAATAATATTTCACGCGTTCGTAATGTTTCATTTCATTTCATTTTTTTTTATAATTCTTATTATATTATAGAAAACACACAAAAATAGATACGAGTTAAGAGAATGCCATTTCTTATATTTTTTTTTGTATGTTTGTGTGAGGTTTTGTTTCGCAGGTTTTCGGTATTGATTAACATTTAGAGATGATTTCCAAAAAAAAAAATAAATTTTTATTTAATCAATTAAGACTCGGATTTATTGCGTTTTAACATTCCTCTTCTACCCTGAAGCGAAATTATTTACGTATTTACGTAACGCCGATTGATTAGATCTCTTCATCGAACGATTACATAAAAAAAAAACAAATATATAATAAGAGATAATAAGCGGAGATGATGAAGAAACTTGATTCATCAATATTCTTTGATTTTTGCGAAACTAGTTTATTAACAACTTGATGAATCAAATGAATAACTGTATTTTTTGATGTACAAAATACAATTTATATTTAAATTAATTAAATGACAATTTTTTTTTCTTTCTATATACAAATTTTATCAAGTCGTAGTCAACATTTGCATTGACCTAAATTTTTTTGTTGTTGTTTTAAATTATATGCACAAAATTATGTATAAAAAAAATGAATATTTACTTGAATTTAGCAAATTATTAGAAATAACTGTACTAATGATATTCAAAATACGATTTTTTTTTAATTTAAAATTATTAAAAATTTACAATTTTTTTCTGTATTTTAAATCACTAAATTATATAGGAAATGAAACATTTGCTTACTTTGATCTATATAATTATAAAAAAAATGCTTGAAACTTCAAAAAAAAAACAAAGATTGTTACTGTCAATAAGTCAAAATTTATTAAGAGTAATCAAAAGTGGTCAAAATTATAAAAAGTTGTAAAATAATGATCAAAAGTGGACAAAATATAAAACTGATCAACAATTTCCAAAAATTCTAAAAATTACCAAAAATAACAAAAAAAATACCAAAAATGTTAGAAAAGGTATGAAAAGTTGCAAAAATTAATCTCAGGTTGACAATTGCCAAAAATGATCAAAAATAACAAAAAAAAATTATCAAAAATGTTAGAAAAGGTATGAAAAGTTACAAAAGTTGATCTCAGGTTGACAATTTCC